TAGCCATTTCTCTTTTCTCGGAGAAACGTTTTAAGCGCGGCGGGGCGACTGCAACGAAAAATCACCCTAGCAAAAAGAGAAAAAATACTCTTTCCCGTTCGAGGAAACCGGTGGAGGCCGTTCCCTGGATTTAGTGATTTTATTGCTTGTCAATAGATTTATCTTGTCCTCGAATGATGGACAGCGCGGATTAGGAATAGGGCGAAGAAGCGTGGAATCAGCGATTCGTTAAAAGAATGTCGTAAATCACGGAGCGTCGTAATCGATCAAACAGTGTAAGGAAGTGTATTGCATTTTTTCCTCGTTCCGTCGCATATCTTATGACAGAGGAAAGCAATTAAAATTCTTGGAAATATTCTGATTCGTTGATAAAATATTTTAAAATGTAAGGATTAAAAGATAAGGATTTAATGTAATTAAATCCTTATCTCGAAGTGATATTTTGCAAAACTGAGAAAGCTTAGTTGCTTTCGAAAATCAGTCATTGCAATTTTTATTGTACAATCTATATACACACATATACACAATATATATAGATTTATTTTATTCTTATTTGATGACTTCATATATTTATTTCCCTTTTACATGTATATCTATCGGTTATTTTTAATTGACATTTTTACATGAAATTAATTAATTAACATTTTTGTTAAAATCTTCTTAATGTATGAAGACAATTGCCCAGAGAAGGGGGGGGGAGGACATAAAACTTGAGATACGAAATAAATATAATATAATATAAAAAGATGTATCTTATTAGAAATTACTTCTATTATTGGAAGAATATATTTTATTTCTATAAGTGATTGTATAAATAAGAATTTATAATATCATTAAAATAACTCTGCTTTTGACATTTCTCAATTAAATTGTAAGGAGTAAAATTATAAAATTGTATTTGACGCACGAAATACCATTGAGAAAATCCGGTATAACAAAAAGAAAATTAAGTTTTTAAGGATTTATCGAGGTATGGGTCATCTTTGACCCAATCATAACATTCCGCGGTCCGTACATCGTTAAAGAAAAATTGTGAGTAATTAGCATAAAGAAAAAGTTTGATCGTGATTGGTATGATCACGATAGAATCGTTATTAATTTCAATTTTATTTATTATTCGTTAAATTTATTATTAGAAGATATCGTTCTTAACGGAAAAATATGCCGAGAATACGGTTTCAAGGCGCGACTAAATATCGTGGGCCAGGTATCGTGGCATGGATAATCGAATAGAAAAACGATAGGTATTTTGTTACGTAACTCCATTGGATTCCATCGTGTAATTAGAGATGAGCGAACACTGATCCTTGTATTTCAATTCTATCTACGATCCTTAAATTATCGATGGAAGAACGAACAACATTCTTCAATGCGATTGAACTTCTCTTTTTCTTTTTTCTTTTTTATTTCGTTACACCATTCCGAAGCATTTAAAACATCTTAGTGCAAATGCGAAAAATAAATATTATATATGTAAGTCGATCAATAATTAATCTTGTATAACTTTTGTTCTAATTGAAATATATATATATATATTTACATAGTTGCCAGTAGATGATTATATAGATGCAACAATATCCTTTATTGAATATACTTTTTTGATTGTAATGTTATTTTCGTTTTTTGTGCTTTTGAATTTGTGCTTTTCAACTTAAATCATTAATTGTATAAAAATATTAAGTAATTGTTACATTTACAAATTTCATATTATAGATCATAAAAAAGAAGAATTAGATATTTGCACAAAAAATATTTATATAGGTATCGTAATTTTTTAAAGTGAAAAGTTAGGTTAGATTAACGAAAATTGATTTTTATACTATATATATATATATTCATATTGTTAAAACATGTGTATTTTAATTATAATTTTCTATCATATATTTAAAATGTATGATCATGATTTTTTGAATTATTTTATTTTCTTAATCTATTCTAAGATTCTTGAGTAAAAAGTTATTTTGGAAATATTTTTATCGTTCAGACACCGTGCGATTTTCGCACGTTTTGTCAAATAAAAAAAATATATAATTGAGAATCATTTTCATATGGATGATAAATTAAAAAATGCGACATTAAAATGATGTTAAGAAATTGAACGCAAATTCGTTGAAAACAAACACGTTGCGACAAATGTTTGTAGATAGTGTGTACAATTATAATATACACATATAGAATATACGTACATCTATAAAAAAGGAGACGAGCGATTTGATTGCCAGTGTTATCGCATTTTTAGTTCGCTTCCTTAACCAAAGTAAGGAGCAGTATGAGTGAAATACAACGAACATTGACGGTCAATTGTTTCTTGGCTTAGTGTGAAAAAACATAGAGGCTCGTTAGAGACCGAAGCAATTTGAGGAAATGATGGAGATAACTCTGCTGTCGAGATATTACATGTATGTATTCTCTGTCCTCACCGAGCATAAAATATCTAACCTTTTTTAATTTTTCAAGATACCTTGAAATATTTGAATCTTTACGTGTCTTCTTTCATGCTTTCATTTGAAGTTAGAAAATCCATATAAACTTTATATAGAAATTTAAAATTAACTCAATTGTTTAAGAAAAATATTCTAAATTTGAAATTTCTCGAATATCTCCAAATGTTAGGACATTTTAATTAAAGAGGGCAGTACTGTACAAAATGTGTACTACACGTTTTTAGCAATAAAAAATTTTTCTCCATTACTTTATATTTGTTACATATATATTTTTTTTTTTTAAAGAGAGAAGCAATAACTTATTGACAGATTTACGTGAAAAAGTACATAAAAATTATCCGATTTCTTCTGGGCAATATTCCAACGATTCGTCACATGAACGATCGGGAAATACGTATATCGTTTTATTTCGTTGTTTATTCGTCGCAAACGTTACGCCACTTCGTCCGGACGTTATTTATCAAGTAATACTATTAGAATCGGTCTCTTTGGATGGATGTTGCGTTGTTAATAGTAGCGGTAGTAGTCTCGAACGAAGTCAGTCGGTCGGTCACAGTTGTCGAGTCACCTCTCCTTCTCTGATAGTGGTTCAGTTGTCGAGTGATCTCCACGATCCTTAGTTCGCGAACAAGTGTTCTCAAGCTCGCTCGTGATTCTGATCGCTATCCTCAGCGCTGTCTTCATTGCCGACCACGTCGCCCTCGTGGCGCTAGGGCGTATTGTTTCGTTTCAAGGTGTGTATTCCTCGTATGGTTTTTCACGCTCGCTTTTTTTTCTTTTAAAATTTTCTTTTGATGGAATTTCGTTTGTCTTCTTATTTTCTTATTATAGATAAGGATGCTTGAAAATTTTTGCTATTTTCGTGATTCGAAACTTTCGAAGTCTAAACAGTTTGCATGATAAATTATTTGGTAACTTTTATTCAATTAATAATAATTTAATTATGTTTTGTATTTAGATTTTGATATAATTTTACTGATCTATATACAATATTTCATATAAAACAAAATAAATAATTTCATTATTCTATAAGCTAGAGATTCTATAAGAATAATAATACTATTATTATTATATACCATTGCTGTTGATTAATTACGAATCTGAGTTTGAAATATTCTAGAGAACAAAATTTGTCGAAATATTTTAATTTTTACTTTTTAATTTCTGATATAGATTTTTCTTTAGAAAAAAAAAAAAAAAATAAAAATAAAAATAAAAATCAAGCGTTTCTGCACCTTAGATTTGAATTTAGTGGAATAATTTGCTTTGATGTGTATTCTAAATTCCAGGAAAAAGTTAATTCCATCTTTTGAATTCCATTGCCTTCTGAAATCCAATTTAAACATTTTCATTTCTTCTTTATAATATCAGTTGCTCCATCTATTCTTAATCGATTTTCATCTTCTTTTTCATCAGATAAAACATTAACTAGAAGTCTGCAATTTACCCATTCCAATGAAACTATTCCTATTTCTCTCCTTCTTATTTCCTTAATTGTCTTGTTATTTTGCGTGTTTTCTATTGCTATTTAGTAATTCCTTTATCGATATTCTTTAATTGTAATTGAAAAAAAAACTGAATTATTAATTTTATACTCATGCATACATTTCAAAAAAAAAAATAGAGTTATAAAAGGAAATAGATAATTGAATTAGTTTAAAAGCTAATTATTAAGTGAAATTTTTTTTAAATAAATTAATTGATTTAAATATTTAAAAAGAAATTTTATTATTAAAATTTTTAGTTGATATTGCATTGATAAAATTAAAAAAAATTAAAATAATTAATTAAATAATTATAAATACTATTAAAAAATATTTTCATAAATAAACATTACTTAACAAATTTAAAATAGTATTACTTTATTTAGATCATTATGAAAATATGGAATATTGTATGACATTTCTTATTTTTTTTTTTTTATTTCATTTATTTATTTCAAAAATTGTTATTTGAAATACCATTATGTAAAATAATATTTTTTAATATTTGTACGAGTTGATATTAACTTAAAAAAAATTCATCATCATGCGAAATATAAAGATATAAAGAAAGTTAACAATCACGTGACTTTATCAAAACAAAAATAGAGATAGTGTGAAATATTATGTTGAAATGGAACACAAAACAAGCGACGGATTAAAATTATATTCATATTTAAATTTACGAATAAAAACATAGTATTAACTTTCGTACTTTCTGTTCTCTTAACTGTTGCAGAATTATCCCTACTAATTTCTAAAACTGGAATTCAAGTTTTTAAAGTACGTATTAATTAAACACTTAAAACTATATCGTACAAAAGTTAACCAAACACTACTTACATTTATTTCCATTTATCTATTTTTAAAAATCTATTTTCGCTAGACTTGATATTTTTTAACAATTAATTATTAACAATCTTAATTATTTTTCATTGATTTGCTCCATATTTACTTCTAAACCTTCCACTTGTAAAAGCAACGTAGCAAAAGTATCGATCGATTAATTTGAAAATGAAAAATTATAAATTTTAATCAATAATGAAACTGAGAAAAAACGTGTTTTTTTGCACAGCTAGCAGAACGGAGCTGCCATCTCAGCGACTCCTCCACATGTGGACATCGCCGTCCCGACTCAGGATCGGCCGAGCACCCAGGAAAAAGACGACACCTTAAGGTGATAGCTGCTGCAGCAGCTACCGCGACCGGTGAACGATGGAGAACACCAGGAGAAAGTTGTCTTTCCTTGGTTTTGGCAAGAGGGTATCGGTAAGTCTTTTATTTTCCATACGATTTTCAATCGTTATTTTCATAATAACGACACGTGGCGTCGATCCTTTCAAGAATTCGAAACATGAAAATAATTATTCTTACAACGTGAAATTTATATAACTATCGTTTTTGACAAACGCACGTTAATACTGTAATAATAACTTGATGAAATAGTTATTATATATCGAGGAAGGTTTTCGAAAGGTTTGCTTAATAATTAAGCGAAAAAATTAACGAATATTCAACTGCGAATTGATGAATTAATAATTTTATATTTTTCATATGTATATTTATCACTATATAATGATATATAATCGCATATAAATTTTCAAATGTTATATTATTTTTATAAAATGTTTCGATATAATTATCTCCAATACTTTTTATTTGGTATCTTGATTATTGAACTGGTTAAAACAGGTAAATGTTTTTAGATAGTTATATTTTTTTTAGCGATAGCATTTTTTTTAAATTAATCTTCACTCTTCATTCTTTGATTTAATTCTTACACCTAAAGCGTATTTTTTGAATTAATCGATGATTAGAATTTTTAATTTGTTTGAACAAAAGAAAAGAACTTACTATTGTTAAAAAATAAATGATAATCTATTGTTTTTCCAATACTTATTATTATCGGTAAAAGTATATATTGTAGATTTTATTATATATATTATAAAAAAAAATAAATAAAACAGAAATTCATTCGTTATCGAAGATTTTATTTGGAATTCTATTGACATTAGTTCCAGTAATTTTTTTTTTTTTTTTTTTTTTTGCTCTTGGCAATAACTTCTACGAAACACAACATTTTATCCAATTATTTACGTTACGTTCTTAAAAAAAAAAACTCTTCCATTGATTAAAGTCGTGCCGACTTTTTAGTCTTCCGACACAATGTTATTCCTTGTTAATTTATTACCAGTTTCCATTTAATTTTTTTCTTTCCGAACAAAAGAGAATAAGTTTATCCTTTTTTTTTTTTTTCTTCTTTTATTATACATTCCAATTAGTATTTTCGAATACGAGTTAAACAACGTTTTATCGGAATTTTAATTAATTGATTAATTGCATCGATCATTTAACAATGAATCGAAATTCCTTCAACGAGATCATGATAATTCGATTACGAACGAGTATTGAAACTTTTATAAAAATATTTCTTTATTCTTCACTTTCTTGATATTATGTACAGTATAGAAATGTATAGTCTTGTTTAAGAATTTAAACTTCGGGATAGATCGGAATAATTCGGGCAGGATCGTAAAGTTTCGGAACATGAGAGCGATATAAGAATAAGAAACGAAGTAATAATAATATCGTAGTAATAATATCGTTTAATCTCGATAATTTATATTTATTTATTGTTAATATCCAATTTTATTATCAAAAAAAATATATATTTCAAAAATAAATTGTAAACTGTTTATTAATGACAAGTTCGTTTTTTCAATTTTTTTCAAAAAAATTTAACGACATAATTCATCATAAACTGTCTATATATACATAACGAAACAAGCAAAATGCTATTCTTGTTTTGTCTTTGATAATAATGATTAATAATAAATAACAGTTAGTGAAAGATAAGGATGGGTTGAGAGTCTAAGGATTAGAAGAAATTTATGTTGTATTATTATTGGTGTGAAATTACTCTCTTCCAGGAAGATTCAATGAATAATTCTCGAGTACATATCCACGACAAAAGTATATAAAGAATAAATATCATGTGTCGTTTCCGCGAGATTGCTAATGAGAATTCTATGACGTCAAAAAATGATAAGCCTTGTCTTTGTATAATAGTCAAATCGCTCTCTTGTAGCGTCACAAATGTTCAATTTATCAATTCTCTATTATTTATGAATAACTATTTATCAAAACTAAATCAATATTTTTTAAAATTGTACATCTTTCGTTTTCACAATAATATTCAAGATGGACGTCACTAATTTACTATGCAATTATCTCAATTCTGATGTACAGATTATTTGGTTATAAATGTTTAAAAATTTAAGAAGTTCCTCTTTAAATTAAAATGAGTCAAAAATAAAAAATAAAAAAATTTGCGATTCTTTGCTTTGATGATTAAAAGTTGTCCAAAATGTCTCTAGGCATGAGCTAACTTCCCTAGATTGTAACTAGACTTCTGGAACTGCACTAATTCGTAAGTAAAATATATACAAATTTGCCTAGTTTTAATTATCGTTAATTAAAAAAACAAAGCTAGAATTTTTATATTTTTAATTTTATTTTAGCTTGAAGAAACATTGATTAAATTTTTGGACATCTATATATACGCTCTATATACACATAAGAAACTTACAATTAAATAACGGAAAAGTTGAAACAGCTAAAGTTGTTCAAAAGATTCCAAGACTTTTTTCATTTTGCTTATTTTCAACGGAGTAATTGCAAAGTTGTACTTGATCTGATTTTCTGTAGTATGTTGTTGTTCAGCCAACTAGAAAGTTTCATGCATGTTACTTTACTGTTTGCTACCATGCACCAGTTGTTTTAACTCAGTTTTAAAAGTTTAATAAAAGTTATGGTAAAATTACGTCAAACAAATCACAAATTTTCGAACGATTCAATTTTAAAATCTAAAAATTAATATCAGAATATTGTTTTGTTTAAGATTGTTTAAGATGAATTTAAAATTGTTTACCTTCCCGCCATAAAATTTTCAAATCCAATTGGATCGTAATACGTAATCGTAAAATCAGAATTTGAATGGTAATATTTTTGGAAAATTTTGGAAATTAACATAATTGTTTTACTTCAAATTTATCGTCTTTTCATTCCATTTAAAAAATATATTTCGCGTTTAAAATTTTATTACCAGAAATCAGAAACTTATTAATACTAAAAAATAATATTTTAAATATTGACACAACATAATTAAATTCTATTCCTACATTTTTTTTATTATAAAATTTTGAAATAATTATCATTACAATAATATTTAATAAATTCACATTTTAGAAATTCACTATTAGAATCAAATATTAAATGACATTGTTACAAATTTTGGATATTGATTATGTCTTATATGTGTAGAAATTTCAATCTAATTATAATAACGTGCAAAATCAAATTAGAACGAGGACCGAGAAGTCACGTGAGTGCAATCGCCTCCGCGGTCTCGCATTACAACGTTCGTTTCTCGCGACTCAACTGGCCACGTGCGAAGGAATTAATTAACATGTCGCGCGTGATTGCTCACACACGTTCGAACAGTGAATCCCATCGTGCAAAGCCACGATACTGGTCGGGTGTCGTTAAACTGGTCGTTATCGTGCCACAAAGATTACATAGCAGAACCGCGTGTGTTCGATCGGCTATGATTCAACGGATGTCCCAGATTTAATGGATTTTATATTAACGTAACGACTAAAATTAACATTCTTGACGTGCGAACAATGCGTCACGTGCGATTTTTATACAACGATCTATTAATTTTTCAGTAGATAAAAAAACTTTTTTATCCATATTTTTATTTTAAAATCTACTTTTTATTATATCAGTAGAACACTTTATATATCTTAATTAAAAGAAAAAACAATGATGAAAACGATAAATCGATATATAATAATTACAATAATATTTATTAATTGATAATATTCTTTGCTAAATTGAATACAAGAAAATTAAACGTTAAGTTGACATTATTTTTAAAATAGGTTTTTGAAAGAAAGCAGCACTTTGATTTGTAAAAAAACGTAGAATAAATAAGTGCTACAATTTGCCTGGTTACAAGTACGATCGATAAAATTGTTCGTAGCAAAGTTGTTATATGTTAAGTAGATGCGTGAAGAAAAAAGGAAAATAAGAATCCTAGAAAAAATAATAAATTTAATTAGTTTTAAAATATCTGAATAATCAATACAGGAATGTTAAATGAAATATAAATTTACGTTGTTCAGGCGTAAAAAATCTTAAAAATATAAAAAAATAAATCATAATTATGACATATAATTTTTGTATCGCATACAGTACTGTCCTCTTTCATTGAAATCTTTTGTTTAATATTTCTAATCATACGAAAATTAAAAAACCAATTTTTATCTTCTTTGTGTTTTCGTTGTTAAGAGAAATATCTAAATTGTTTTTAAATCTCTATTAAATTCATAGATTTCTAACTTTATTTACAAAGTAAAAAATAGGTACAACTTCAAATATTTTACCAAAAATATGAAAAATGAAAAATATGATATTTAAGAAGGTTAATATAGTACCATAAATAACAACCACAGTAATCATTCCCATAATTTCTTGAAATTATTTCAAGACCAAATGAGTCTCTAAGTTTTTTACACATTAGCCACGCTCGACTTTCTTTTTATCTCATTCAAACTAATTGTTTCTCGCTCTCGTTAAGAAGTAAGTGAACTAAAAATATATAATAACGCTGCAAATTTCCAGAAAACGTTTCTTTTTAATAAATGTGATATGATTCTAATATGTTTCTATTATTGAGATATTATTGTACATTGAAATGAAATGACAAATAAATATTCTGCAAAGGTTAGATTAAATTCAGTTTGACTTTTAGATTAGGCTTTTAGTTAGACATATGGTCGAAGCAAACAGTGCATTGTGAAAAGCAAACCATAGACAAGTGAATCAAACGGAAAGAGCAAAATACATTACCATTTCGATCAAGCCTCTTGTAACTCGCGTCAAAAATAGACGCAATTTCTACTAGCAATGAGTGGTGCCCTTGAAACGATACGCCGCTCTTTGAAGAGCAGATCAAATGTCATTGTGTTTCGGGTCATATAAACCGCATACTTCATTGCATCAAGGTCATTGCCAAATGCACGTTATCGAGTTACATGAAGGAAAATTTCTAATAATTGCAATCGCGAGCGAATTCTTTTCCGTTCTGTTTTAAAAAACTTTCGTTTCTCGATCGATGCAAAGCAGTAAGCTAAGTAGCATGCGATTCAATGGACTGCTCTGCATCCCATGTTATTGACCTACGACCGTCAGCAATCAGACCAATTATCCAGCACGAGCTTGTCCCGCTTTTTCAAATCCATGTCGATAAGATGATAATCCGCGTTGCGTGTTGCTATCTTCACCATTTCAGAATATAACCGGTTCGTTTGTATCGCGGCTCTGTCTCATAATCGGCCATATTTCGAAAGGAAATAGCATCGTTCCGTGCCGATAACCGTTTTGAATTATGAAAATCATTCGAATCTTCTTTGAACTTTATTCATCATTTCAAGGTAATGCCCTCGAATATATCGATTTGCAAATGTTTTTTAAATTTATCGCGTTTTAAATTATTATCAAATCAATTAGGATGATTTTATGATTTTATCACGAATATTTGTTATATATTATTATATTATATGTTATATATATTATTGTATTATATTTTGATTTCTCGATAGTAGTGTTTCTCAATTATATTGGATGGTGAATATTTTGAATGTAAATATTTTTCTTAAATTTATTATCCATGTTTTGTTCTATAAATATTTTGTATTTTTCATATTCTCCAATATAACAGCAATTTCTGATATAAATCTCTCAAGAAAAGTATTTTAAATACATATATTATTTATATTATACTGTTTTAGACCTTACTTTCTAGAACACTAAAAAATTCTCGATGTGCTAAATTAAACATATCTAAAATAAGAAAAATAAATTAAATCATCAAAATATTTATTTTTTAAAATTGTTTAAATTCCTATGATTTTTTTAAATATTTTTTTTAAATTATATATCAAAATTGTGCGAACAAGAATTATTTTTTAAAAAATCAAAAATCATATTATCTTATCTTTTTTCTTTTTTTTCGATAAAATTATATTATATTATATTTAAAAAAAAAAAAAAGATTTTAAATCGAAATAATTAGATTAAATCTGTATTATTTTATAAAATTCTTTCTCTATCAAAAATTTATCCAAAGAAATTATTAAATTATAAATATTAATAAAAAGAAAGAGAAAAAGAAATGATTGTAAATTTTTTGACCGATAGTTCAATACGACGTTTTCTATTCTTAACATAGGACAGAATCAAAAACATGATTGAGAAAAATTGTATAATGCATTGAACGTATTTTAATTTCGTTATTTATTTTCGACGCAGGATCTCTAATCCCATTATAACGCGTTCGATGTAACAAAGAAATTCGATATTTGTCTCTTTCGTGTTGCATAAGTTGGCGGAATTGAATCCAGATGCGCGTTGATTATATCTGGTGATGATTCCGATCTTTTATTCACGTAAATTCTGAATCACATACAGCTACCGCTGTACTAAGAAATGTTTTTCAACGTTAAGATAAATAATCCCTGAAAATCGAAGAGATTTTATGAGAGCTGATATATAAGAGGGAATTAATTCCACAATGGTGGCATTAAGAAATATCCATTAAGGCTTTTATTTTAATATAATGTTTCCATTAATAAAATTGCATAATTAAAGCTGCAATTTTTTCATGTAAAAAATTACTAATATGAAAATAACGGATAATCTCGGAAAATGTTTTATTTTTCATTTTATCTTTTGTATCGCTTAAAAAACTTGATCAAGATAGATATTTTAATTTTGACAAATTTTTAAGCACGCGTTGAGCTAATATTATCTTACAGAGAATATCAAATTGCATCGAATAACAAAAATTGATCTTTTCTTGACAAAAAAAAAAAATTTAAAACATCAAAATATACATTCTTCTACTACTAACATTTAACTATTTTTCCTTGCGAATAATAATGAAGAAAATCAAATATCGATAATTTGACACGACTCGTTCAAATTATAATTATAATAATAAAAAATTTTCCACCTATAAATACCAATTAGACATCAAGAATTAATAAAAATTTTATTTCTCAACATTTTGTTCTACACGTATTGCGTAAATCGATCCTGATGGAAGAATAAAAGGCGTTCGGTTGCCGCCTCTGTTTACGCGTTGATACACGACACGTTGACTTTGGAATTTCTGGTAGAATTCCATCAATGGAAATCGATATTCATAAGCGACGGCTCGTGTCAGTTCGCGTTAACACTTGATGAAAGCGATTTGATCCATCCTCCTTGGTCTCTCCAATTATCAACTGACTAATTTATCGATTGTGTAACTTTGATTATTATTATACAATTGTTAAATAGTGTGAATCGACGATGGCTCAT